GGTAGAGGAGCTTGGGGTGAAGGGAAATGAAAAAGCTTTGGAAGGTGGAGGTCAGGTTAGCTGCTAAAAACTTCCTCTTCAGTAGTGCTGTAAAAGCACTGTGCTCTTCCATCCTGGGAGCTGATAAATATCAAATTTCCAGTCCTACTTGACAGAGTAATGAGTTCAGTGTGATGTTTTTGCATTAAGGCAGTGTTTAGTGTAGTCCATTAACCCTTAGTGTAGCAGTCTGTTAGCTGCTCTTGGAAGGCTTTGGGGAATCTGATTGCAGTCAGTAGAGGTGGCGTGTTAATTTTTTTCAAAGTTATCTTTGTCTCTAGGACTGTCAGGTCTAAGGTGAATGCTCACACTGCTCGGTTCAGCCTATTCCTCCTTTACTCCCAAGTGCTTCACACTTGGACTTTGTCATCCTGGCAAAGCTGAGATGGTTTTGGGCCCCTGAGCCCTTCCATGTTTGAGGGTAGGAGGGCTGGGAAGGGACCATCCTCAAGGAAGAACAGAGACCATGAATGTGAGAAGCTTAACTTATTGTAGTAATGGGTGGGTAACTTCAAGCAGGAGTTGCAGAATTGCTGCTCAGATGGTCTCATTGTCTGCTGTTCCTGGCTTCTCTCTACAGACACCTCAGTTTCTCAGTCTTTAAAAGCACAGATAACACATCCTTTGTAAACTTTTCTGAGGTGGAAAGCCCTGAGAGACTGATTGCTCTTCAGACTGAGACTGAAACCCTGGGCGGGGAATGACTGTAGAAAATGCTTGTGATTACAGTTGCTTTAGCCTAGAGAATAAGTAGTGAGAAAGAGTTTGGAAAACCTTGCCATACATTTCCTGAGCCAGGTACATAATTAAGAAAGTAGTTAGTCATGAAGTAATTAACAGGTAAAATAGCAGGTTATTAATCTGGCAAACCATGTCTTAACTTTGTTTTTCTAACTTCAGAGAGCTCTAAAAAGACTGGTTTTCTTTTACAACTTCCACATTTCATTAACATTGTTGATTTCAAATCCTGTTTGCTGGACAGAGTGGAGAGTGTAGGGAAGGGCCAGTTCCTCAGCATGTGTAGAGGGACAGCTGCTGTTCACCCTTTGGCATCACAGCACATTCCCTGCTGGAAGCCTTCTTCTGACAGCAACCTCTCCCTTAAAAACATGGCTGCATTGCCTCCCAGCAGCAACATGGCATAATAAAGATGAAAAAGAGCAAGAAGTTGAAATATCTCTTTTGTAAGCAACATTTTAAAAACTCTCCCTCATACTTCAAAGAAACTAAAAGCTAAAGAGCTTAGCCCCACCAGTTTAAACTGTGTGCATTTATTAGTAATAATAATACCAATACCTGCAGTGGTTGAAACTTCTCTAACACTAATAATTTCCATCATTACTGTGTTGCCAGGAGGCTGTGATATTCTTGTATTGGATGTGACACCCAGGAGGAGACCAGCTCCTGTCAAAGGCTGTAGGAGAGCCTAAAGGTAGAAGCTGCAGTTGCCCTCCTCTCCAAGAGGGTGGTGCTGGTGCCAGAGTGCATTCTCCTTGCTCTTGTTTCTAGCTTGCTGCTATGGCCAGGTGGGCACTGTTCACGTACTAGATGACACTGTGCTGTGCTGCTGCTGCAGTAGTGATGGGTGTGTATTGCCAGCTCACAGCAGGACGCCCAGCTCAGTGCTGTGCTGTCCTCTCTTTTCTTCAGATCATGCTCAAAGGATGCTAATTTTTGCTTTCAAGATCATGGTGAAGATAATGCATACAGACTGGAAGAAATATTGGGCCCTGTCTGGGATACATGTGCCATGCATTGTACATGAACACAGCGTCATTTCCATTCCAACATGCTGCCAATGCACAATCAACCCTGATCTGAGGATTATCTTCCCCAAGCCTTTTTGGATTGCTGAGTCCATGGCATCTCCCCTGAATGTTGGATCTGGGCTCCTAATGCACCATGTTCCCTGTAATTAAGTGTATAAGCTCCTGAAGGGTGTTTGTGCAATAGAGGGAGTGAATCAGATGATTTTTCTTTGGGGCACTGAGCACCTGGAGCCTGTGGCCATCAATTAATTACACTGGCTGTGAGCCACCCTGTCCTAGACAGAAGGGCTGGGTTTGTCTCCTTGGATCACAGGCAGCATTTGTTTCACTTCCAGACTAATGCGTGCCGGCTGGTTTGGGATCAGAACAGGTGGTGAAGGGGGAAGGCAGGGATGTATCTTTTTCTGTATCTGACCATCCTGGGCTATTCTCCCTTCCTGAAATTATTGCAGTGAGGACACTGCAGCTGGCTTGTTCAGGGCTCTGCTGGCAGCTGTGTGCCCATGGGAAGCACAGCCCTGTGTCACCTTTGTCCCTTCTTGCCCCTGGACCGGGCTGGCTGCTGGCTGTCCCCAGTAGCAATGGGGCTCTGGGGGCACAGGGCACTGTCAGTCCCTCAGAGAAGCAGTGCCACCCTTAATGCTCCACTTTGGGCTTAAAAAAGCCCCCAAACCAAAACAACAACAACAAAACCATCAACCAAAGAAAAGCCCCCAAACCCCTCTAAATCCATTCTGAGGCTAAATTATTGCATTTGAACAGTTTTCTTCTGGTTTTGGGATGTTTTTTTTTTCCTGTTGGTAGTTCTTAACAGTGTCCTCTAAGCAGCAGGGCCAAGCAGAGGGGCTGAACAGGAGACTTCCCTGCCTGGCTGGCCTCTGCACAAGGCAATGAGGTTCCTCGTGAACCTCAGCAGGAGGTTCCTCATGTCCTCCTGTCCCCGTATCCCCCTGTTCCATGTCCTACTTCCCCGTGTTCCCTTCTCCTGCTGTCCCCATATCCTCCTGCCTCCCTGTCCCCCTCTCCCCAGATCCCCTGTCACCATATCCTGCTGTCCCCATACCCGTACCCCTGTCCCCATCACCCTGTATCTTCTTGTCCCGCTCTCCCTGCCCCTTATCTTCCTGACCTTGTCCCCATATCCCGCTGCCCCCCGTCCTCATATCCCCCGTCTCCCCACATCCCACTGTCCTTGTCACCCTCTTCCCTGTCCCCATCTCCCTGTACCTACTTGTCCCTCTCTCCCCCTTTCCCATATCTTCCTGTCTGCATCCCTATTTCCCCTGTACCCCTTTCCCCACATCCTCCTGTCCTCATGTCCCTCTATCCCTATATCCCCGGCTGCCCTATCCCTGTATCCCTATATCCCGCTGTCCCTACATCCCCCTATCCCCCTCTGCCCATGTTCCGGCGGATCCGTCCCTCAGGCGCGGGCGCGGCGCGGCCGCAGCGCCCCCTGGCGGCCCTGCGCGCACGGCGCAGCCCGCTGCCGGTCCCTCAGCCGGTCCCTCAGCCGGTGCCTCAGCCGGTGCCTCAGCCGGTCCCTGGTGCGGGAGCACGAAAACACCGGGGATCAGCACATCCCCCGCTCCTGCGGGACGGGGGTCCCCACCCAGGAGACGGAGGAGCCGGTAGACGGATGTACCTCCAAGCCGAAACACCACCACGCGTCCCTAGCCAAGGTCAGCAGGGCGATGAGTAGCAGGTGATGGGGCCAGAGAGAATGTCTCATGTGGTAAGAAAGGAAGGTTGAAAACAACTCATAACCATTAGTCATCAAAAAAAGTGTTTGGATAGCAGTTCTTGAAAACATTTCCCTGTGAATACGCCATCCTAGAGCTGCACGTTCATTCAGAATCCCTGCCGTGAAGCCTCCGTGTGTGGAGAATGCTGTCTTCCCCTCTTCAGGCAGAGACAACTGGCAGCAGCTAAGCAGGTCAGGCTTAAAAAGCACAGGAATAGGTGTGTACAACACTGAATAATAACCAGAGCATTGGGCTACAAGGTGCCTTTTGGTGTCTGCTTGGATCACAAATTATCGTTCTGACTACAGAACAGGGAAACCTTGCACAGAAAACATAGCCAAGGCCTGAAATATTGTGTTGAAGGATTTTAGATCCAGGTATTTTGCTTAAGTGGTCATTGCCTGTTGTTTTGACTGGGATGACTTGTTAGGCCAGACCTGGAGTAATACCCTTGTCCTCAGTGACCAAGTCACTCTGGAAATACAGAGGAAAAATAAGGAAGCAGGGAAAAACTGAAGCAAAACAAAGTGTATTTAACCACATGTATCTGAAGCTTCAAGCTGGACCCATTCTTCCTGTGTCTGTTTCCTTTGCTGTATAGCCAATCTCCCTTTTTCTCAGCTACAAAATTCCTCTCTTGGGACAGGGCGGGGGAAAGATAATTGCTGTCTGCTGCCCTCCCCCAGGATCCTGGGGAAGCCTCATTCACCCTCCCTGACTGCAGGTGTGTGGTATGGGCTGTCACAGCTTATCAAATGATACAATCCCCAGCACCCTGCTCCAGGAGGTTTGTCTGCACCTCACCTTGGAGCTCGTCTCTTTGGGCTCAGCTCTGTCTGAGCGTGTTCAGTTAAGCCCGGTGTACGTTTGCTACATCCAAAAGCTGGTATTCAAATATAAGACCAAAAACCAAGCACCGAGGGGAGGAATTCTGCTGCTGGTTACCCAGCTATGTGGCCAACATTCCCGTGCAGTGAACACAGAGAAAATAACAGCACAATCCAGCTGCTTGAGAACTTATAGGATGAAGGATTACAGCTGCTTTAACAGACAGAAAGGAGCTAATGTATTTCCTGTGACTACACATCCTGCCTCAGCCCATATCCCTCCGTTAATTACTCCAGGGGGAACAGCCTTTCCTTTGCTGCCTTGCTGTGGCCCCATGCCAGCGGGGACGGGCAGCGACTGGGCTCCTTCAGCCGGGGTCACGACAACGACTTTTCGTGGACAGAGCCCACGGGAGAGCACAGCCACCCCCGCGGCCCAGGCCACAGAAACCCGTGCTGAGCCCGGGGACACCGGAGGGGACACGTCCAGCTCTGGCCAGGCGGCCGGAGCCCGCACCGCCAGATTGATTTTCCCCGCTCTTCTATGAAATACGGCCCGCGGCCCTTCTATTCCAGGGAATACGGCTGGCGGCGGCCCGCCCCCGCCCGTGACGGCATCGGCGCGCGGTGGGGCTGCGCCGCTACTCGGGACACCTCGGCCCGGCGGGGCGGCGCCCCTACACGCAGCCTTACGGGCCATGGCCGCCGAGATCCACTCGCGGCCGCAGAGCCGCCGGCCCGTCCTGCTCAGCAAGGTCGAGGGGCACCAGGACGCCGTGAGCGCCGCGCTCCTCATCCCCAAGGAGGACGGCGTCATCACGGCCGGCGAGGACAGGTGACCCGGGGCCCGCTCCCCGGCGGGCAGGGCCGGGCCGCGGGGCTGGGGCGGGAGCCGGGGCAGCGCGGCTGCTGAGGGAAATCCGGCTGTGCGCTGTGCCTTTGCCGGGAGGCGCGCAGGGACTCCGTGCCTGCGGCCGTCAGGAGATCCGCGGAGCCGCGCTCCCGGGGAGGAAGATGCCGTCAGCTGTGAGGGAGGATTGGCTCGGCCCGTGCGGGGCTGACGCTTTCCCACCGGCGGGGGGAAGCTGCTGTGCTCCGTGCGCGCTGTCCTGCCCCTGCGGAGCCCCGGGAGGAGCACAGCTCGTCCTGTGTGTGAATGGGTCCTGCAGGGCTTATGAGCAGAACCAGGAGTCAGGGAGTATGTTTCCCTCGGCCTTCCGCTGTGCTGGCTGAAGCGCTTGCAGTGTGTCACTGCTTCCCCTGCCCGTCGGGATAGTTGGAGCTTCCCGAGCTGCGCCGGTGGAACGAGCCCATTCTGATGGCTTGGTGTGCAGGTCCCAAACCTGCTTCCCTCTGGCCGAAGCCGCTCAGGGAGTGAGTTGGCAGATCTGAGGGGAGAGGGGGTGATGAGCTGCTGTGCACGGCGCTTGGTGCTTGGAAGAGAGTGTCTTCAGAGTCTGACCCTGCTTCTAGGCACTGGCTCGTCTGCCACAGGAGCTGGTAATGTCGCTAAACAGTTACTCGGATGAAAGGAAAGTGGGAATGAGGAAGCAGGTAGTACAGAGGGTTGTGGCCAGGAGAGTGGTGAGGGATCTGCAATGTGTAGCGGGAGATGGAATTTCACCTGTGCCATGTAGAAAGTGACGCCTAAAGGCGAGGAGGGATGGGAGATGCTTCTTAAGAAACTGTGGCTCAATTTGAAGCAACGGTGTGCTTTTAAAAGTACAAAAGTGCATTCTTAGAGGTGTAGCTTGGTGTGGGGGTAATTTTAGTGTTGTACTATAAAACTTGTAAAACTAAATTTGCATTAATATTTGCATGAATTTTTGTTTGAAAAGCTTGACCTTGTGAGAAATAGGAGAATCTGAGTGCTGAAAATCAGCGGAGCAACGGTGTTATCTGAACTGGGTTTTCTGGCATTTATTTTTAGGTCAAAAAGTGCAGAGAGATCAGGTGTCTAGTTGGTTTGTGTCATCCCTTCCTATAGAGATGGCTTTGTGCAGTACATGTTGGATGACAGCTTTTGGATGGGAATGGGCAGCTTCCTTTCATTCCAGTCACTTAGGTGTGATTGTTCGTGTTTAGTTTGATGGACTTCCTGAAGGAGAGAAGAGGAAATAATGATTTTTAAGACTCCATATCAGGGTTCAGCATTCACAGAGTTTCATGATACAGGCTTGCAGAGCCTTGCCTGTGGGCAGACAGTGCCAGTGTTTAAACTCAAGGTCTTAATGCTGAAGGTTAAGCAGTCTGCATGCTTAGACTGCTGATAAGAGCCAAGGCTGGAGCTGCATCTTTATCTGGGCAAGTTTTGGTGTCAGATACAGACCTGTGCAAGGAGAGAGAGGCCACCACCCACCTTTGGTGTGTGTAATTACCAAGTGAGTCAGTGGACTTGTGGCTGAATTTGTGTCACCCACCTTACTGTGAGAAGTGAAATCTTCAAACTTTCAGAAACCTGTATTGCCTCTAATCTGGGATTCCTCCTACAGTACATCAGAGCTTTCACTACAGTTCAGCATGTTGTCAAACAGTGCTCCCCTGTTTGCTCGCTGCAAGTGGGGTGTAGGTGTTAATACTGCATAACTGCTTGTGCTCCTGGCAGCAAAGTGCAGAGTACAAGGAGCACAAGAGCTGCTGTGTGTACTAAGAGCAGGGCTCAAGTATTTTTTATTGCATCTTAATGCAGCTAAGGCTGTCAAGTATTTCATAATAACCCGCCAGAGGAATGTGTTTACAAGTTGGGTAGTGAGGAAAACATTGGTGCACAAACACTCCCTGGGAATGTTGTAGATTATTCTCTCATTAGAGCTACTCATTGTAGTTCTTCCTATTTTAAATTATATTTCCTAGAATGAAAAGTAATGGTTTTATTTTTTCAGAGGATACAAAAAATTTCATAGTAGATCTGTGAACGCCAACAAAATTCTATGATTTTTTTTAACTTTTAAAGAGGAAAAAAGAAACAAGAATACCTGCAGGAGACCAAGAGTTAATTTTCCCAGTTGGATTTTTCAGCAGGACACTTGCCATCTGTGAAGCTTTCTCAGAACTTATCTAGAAAGGATGATTAACTCTGTGTCCCTGTTGGCATCTTGTCTGACCCTGGCTGCAAGACAATGTTGGGAATTGTTGCAGTGTGTCCCTCAGCAGAAAAAGCTAAGGGAAGAGGAGTGTTTCCCAGCTGCAGCTGGGAATGCTGAGGGATGATCAGCTGTGTACAAGACCCTAATGCAAGATGAGAGTCCTGTATTTACTACAGGAGTCTGGAGTCACTGGCACGTTTCAGTGTTGCTGTTTGGTGACCATCAGTAGCTGCTAAAAGTACAGTATTAGCTTTTGTTGGTTTTTTTGCTTATGAAACTCATATATTGGTCAAAAACATGGTTTGGTTTTAGCAGAAATTTGATAAAAAATATCAGCTGTGTCTTTGAGCTTCCATTGCACTCTGATTAAACCAGATTCCTAATGCTGTTTTGGGAACAAGGTTGATAACAGTATAAATATTTTTGATATAAGCTACCAGAAAGAGGCAGTATTCTGTTCTTGTTAGGAAAACAACTGCCACTGGTTGATTTTGGGTAGGAAAGCAGTTGGTGGTGGTTTGAAGGAGTTAGGAGATGCAGTGCTGGGAACAGGACTGGTGCAGCTGTGTAGTAACCTGCAGCAGTGCTGGCATTGTGACAGGTTTGGGTTTGGCTGCAGGTCTTCCATCACTTCACCCTCTGTGGCTCCTGTTGGCTTTCAGAGGGCAGCTGGTGTAGCAGGAGCACAAGCACTGTGGGAGCACAGCATTGTGTCTGCTCTCAAACCCCAGGTTTGTTGTTTTTCTCCAACACTGTTGGGTGCTCACTCACTCTGTAAATGAAACAGTGACTGAGAACAATAAAAACTCTTAGAAATTGGTAAGGCCACAGTCTTGAAGATGCTTGAAGATGGCTTTTGAGTGTCTTTTTTTAAATTACATTAAAAAATCCTACGTCAAAATCCCTTTGAATTGTCTTCTGTAAATGTGTATGCTGCCCAGCTGAAAGCAGCTTCTGGTTCAGTACTGAATGTTGGGGAAGTTTGGAGGTAATTTCTAATATTTTTTTTAAATGTTTTGCTTCCTCCTGCTGCATCTCAGGTGATGTAGGGACAGTGGGATATAGGGACATGAGGATGTGGGGAAAGGGGTACAGGGGAGATGGGGATGCAGAGGAAGATATGGGGAAGGAGAAGAGGGGGGCGGGGACAGTGGGATGGGGGGATATGGGGACAATGGGAGAAGGAAACATGGGGAAGTAGGACATGGAACAGGGGGATACAGGGACAGGAGGACATGAGGAACCTCCTGCTGAGGTTCATGTGGACATGAGGAACCTCATTGCCTTGTGCAGAGATATGAGCCTAGAATTTTTAAAGTCTGTATCTATCTCTGGGTGCTTCTTAATGAATTCCAGCATTTTTATATCCTTACTGAGACTGCTGTCAAACAAACCTGTGTCTTTCTAGGCTCTTAGTAGGGAATGCTTAAGGAGAAGTGAGTGGTAGCCAGCTCTGCTCAGGTACTGAGCCTAGGATTCTTCATTAAATAAAGACAAAGTTTTGAGGAAAGTGCTAAAGACTCTAAGGCAGTTGTCATAACAAAGCCGTTGAGTGGTTGAAGGAGTTTGTGGGAGCAGCATTACCAGAGGACTTCTCTAGTGCTTTAAGAACTAGTATTTTACAAATTATTTGTCCCAACATAAGGAGATGCATCTCAAAAACAGGTCTGTAGGAGGGAGAATCAGGGAGAAGTGGCATTTTGGCAGAGGTTACTTGCTGATTCCTGTGAAATGATCTCTTCAAATTTTGCTCAGTCAGAACTTTATATAATTAGATATAAAGCTGTCTGACAGCTTATCTTTGCAAGCATGAGGTGAGCAGAGTCTAAATCTTACTTAAACCAAAATAAGAAGCTTTCAGAAGTTAATTTTGCTAACTCTTGCAGCTATTTGCTTAGGCTCTCAACTTCACTGAGGGGCTGTACCATTGATGATCAACACAGAAGTTATGCTCCCATTAAATAATTTCTTAGAAAAAACAAATCTTTGCTTCCTTTATTCTAGTTCAGTACAATTAACCACAATACTGAGAGGAAGCTAAGTCTGCTTTTGAAAAATCAGCAATGCATGATTTTGATCACCATGATAACTTATCATGTAATTCTTCAAAATAAAAGATAGTTACATAACTTTGCCTAGAAGTGAAGAGTTGAATTAGTAAGAGTGGAAACCACCATCTGAGATGTTCAGAACAGTTTGAGTATGATGGAGCTGCTTTAAAAAGCAAGTTTAAAAGCTGATAAAGGTGCATAGGTGCTAACCTGTGCTATTAGGTTGGCATCATTAGAATGACTTGAAAACATTGTTTTTCCCATATTCTCTGTTACCAAGAAATAGCAGCTGCTCCTCTGGAGTGGTGACTCACTGAGATAAGGTAGGCTGTTGATTATTGTAAGGAGGAAGTGATAGCTTTTGAGAGAGAGTCTTAATGCAAAATATTAGTGCCTTAAACTGGTAAAAAAATAACTTGATTTAAAAGCTGAAAATCATTGTTTTGGGGCAGTGTATGCTCACCTGTATTGCTTTCAAGTTTTCAAAAAGTAGTACATTAAGGGTGGGTATTGTCTGCTTTATATTTGAATGGTCTTTTAAAGAAAAGCCTTTAAATGGATTGCAAAATTAGAATGCTACTGTTGTATTTTGAGCAGTAAAACTTCTGAGAAATTCTGTTTGTGGTGCAAGACACTGGTCTGTTTCTGTGCTCTTTTTGTTAAACATTTTACTGTTGATCCTACATGATGTCTGACTAATCAGTCCCCTAGTATTTTTCTAGAGAATTCTAAATACCAGAACTTTTATTAGCTAACAGTAAATAGAACAGCACCTCTCAGTGAAGCCTCTTGACAGTGTTTCCAGGTACATGTATTTACAGATCATTTAGGAATGAGGAAGTTGGATTTAAACAGTAACAAAAAGGCAAACAATGATTTGGAGATGAAATTTCAAGAGGACTTAACCTTAACACTGTCTACATGTGTGCTCTTAACTTCCTGATGTAATCTCTTCAGTGTGTCTGTCATAGAAATTCTGTTGACAATAACTTTCCACTTCCTTGTTGATACTCTTACATCCCTCCTCCCAGGATTTGACAGTCATCAGAGTAGTATAACGCTAAATGTTCACAAGACCACTTATCCTTTCCTTCCAAGAGATGATTCTGGAAGATTGCAAACTAAAGCCAATTTTATAAAGAATCTTAGCATGCTGTCCAAGTAATCTTGTCAGCTTTTCAGTTAACATTTGACTGGCTCATCAATCCTGATCATATTTAGGGCAGAGAAGCAGTGCAAACCAACAGCAACTAATGTTGCTTGTCCTTTGCATTCCTACATGAGGGATTAGAGGCATGGCTTAGAGGAAATAATACTGAGTTAGATATGCTGTCCTCTATGGATTCTTCATATTTGGGGATGGAGATGTCAGTAATGTGCTGGTCTAGAAAATGAAGGGCTTCTGTTATTAATATTCAGTATCTGGCTTGCTGAAGGGTGAGTTACACAGAGATGCTGTAAAAATGTAAAAGTTTGGACTTCCCTAAGAAATGATTTGCATTTTTTTATGTACCAGACACTTAATCTGATATAAACAAACTGTGGTTTGGCTCTGCCAAAGACAGAAAGTTTCTGCAATTTGACTTTATATCAGCCAGAGCCAAGAAGGGAATAAAGGGATGCAATTTTTAGCAATTTCTGAGGTGAGTTGAAATAGTATTTCCATTTCATACTACTGAAACTTCATGTATAAATAGTTTTAAAGAAAACTTTTCCAAATCCAAGGGTGCCTATTCTTAGTGCCAGTATTCTTGTTATGTTAGAGCAGTATTTGAGTGCTGTTATTTCTGTTATGTCGTTCCTCTATTGTATTTGAGTAGCACAAAAGCTAAGGGCAGTGGAGCTGATCCATAAGTAATGAAGTGATTCAGATGTAGGGAATGATGCACTTACAGCTGGCGTCTCCCTGCTCTCCCCATGACACAGGACAATCCGAGTATGGCTGAAGAGAGACAGTGGGCAGTACTGGCCCAGCATCTATCACACCATGGCATGTAAGTACAATATGGATGTGGTAAGTGGTGGCCAGGCATGGTATGGGTTTTGTACCTGTGGTGTGTGTAGGAGTACCTCCTTCTCATTTCCCCAAGGCTGGATTCCCTCAATGATCTTGATTTTTGGGAGCTTTGCAGCAAATCTAGCTCAGACTTTGATTTGAAACTAGCTGCATGGTGGATGGGATCTGTGGCAGTGTTGTGTCAGAACCACATCCTTCACCAGGTAAATGATTGTGGATCTGCAGCTGGAGGTGCCTCAGATGATGGCAGGTAACTTGTCTGCCAGTTAAGTGAGCTTTTCTAACCACTAGCTGAAAGTTGAGATGTAAGAATACTCTCAGCTTTCCAAGGTGTGCATTTTTCTCTTTCAGGGCTGCATTTGAGATAATTTTAGTGAGCTCAAGTTCTGAAGTGTAACCAGCTGTTGCTGTTATCTCAGCTTTCAGCTTGTGTAAAATTCCTCTTGCTGAGTTGCACCTTGTGGCAGGAAGTCATGTTTGCATATGGTTCCTGTTGGTATATCCGAGTTACAGTAGTCATGTTGCTGTCCTCAGCTTCACACGTGGGAATTGAACTGTCATTCCAAGGGATGTTAACTAGGCAGTCCAGTTTCTATCCAACTACTTAAACAGCTTTTGTCCTGAGTGAAAGAATTTACTTTTATTAAAGTTGTGTGTATCCTAATACCTCTATTTAAATACTGTAATGTACTTGCTTTTTTTTGACAGCACCATGTTCTGCCATGGCTTATCATCATGACAGCAGACGGATATTTGTTGGCCAGGATAATGGAGCTATCATGGTAAGTTGTTGTGACTTTTCTTCTGAATGTAGGTTAGAATTGCTCAGATTGTCCATGTGTTGCTGGCAGCTGATAGTCTGTTTTCTTTCCATTTGTTTTGGAATGCAGCTACTGCTAAATGGCTGAGCTCTTGGCAGTTCAGCTGAGATATATGTGGGAGGACTGCAAAGCAAAGGTTCTTCTGGCTAGATGTGAGCCAGGCAGCCTCAAGAAGCCCTGGAGCCATTAGTGCAGCAGTGCACCCAACAATTACACTTGGCCAAGGAGGTGTTTTGAGGGCAGTACAGTAAGCTGGGCATGGTGGTGCTCTGACAGGGGTTGTGAACCTGCAGTTGGTTTGCCCCTGGCCAGGAGTATGGATTTGTCTCTATCCTGCCATGCACACATCTCTGGATTTGCTTGCTGTAGATCTTTTGATGATGTAGAAATTCCAACACTAGCTCTAAAATTATAAGAGGCTGGGTTCATCTCTTTACTTGCTGGGAATTCTTTCTTCTCTCTTTGTATATTCTTGCTGTAGTTGCTGTCTCTGTCTTGGAGAGCATACACTTGGCAGAACAGAAACTGGGTTTTATTCTTGCCCCCTTGGTAAAGGAGGGAAATCTTGTGACTCTCAGATGCTTTAATGGTTTCCTTTCTCTGTGAAAATAAGGTCAAAATAATAACTGCCCCATAAGGAGCCAGGGTACTGCATGAGTGTCATAAAGAGTGATTCTACAGATAACTGCTATGAATAGCCTACAAAGAACTGCATAGAATTCTAGTGATAGCTACTGGAAATTTCCAGTTGAGACTTCTAAAATTTCATTAAGTCTGGTGGATCAAATACAGAACACTGTCACTTAAACCTGTCCATTGTGAAGTCACAAACATGCAAATCTTAAGTACTACAAGATAGTTTTGTTTGCTCCTGCTTGGGACGAATGAGATCTTATGTCTTCATATAATCTCCCTTCAGTAAACTCAGTTCTGAAAGGATGTTCCCTGTTGAAAATTCAGTTCACTTAAAACCTTAATTCACAGTTGGTATTTCAGTGTGCTTTTCTCCAGCTTGAGAAGCTGCCTGTTTTTTTGTGGGATATGCTGCTGCTATGCAAATTTTAGTCTTTGAGGTTGCTGCTTCTTTTTGGGTATCAATGTTGCTTAAGCCACTGTGGTATCTTCTAACAATTTCTCTTTGCTTTTAGGAATTTCATATTTCTGAGGACTTTAATAAGATGAACTTTGTGAAGACCTATCCAGGTAAACAGTTAACCACCATCTACACTAACATTTGTGTAAAGGGAAGGTACCTACAATGCTTGGGAAACTGGACACAATCACAGATTAATCAAATCCAAATATGCTTTTATTCTGACTGACCTTACAGTTGTCACTTAGCTGGGGGATAACTGCCATAAGAAAAATGTTCTGTCAGCTGAGTCCAAGTTGTAGTCATTATAATTAAGTTCACCATCATTAGCGTGCAATGTAATGAGCCAGAACTAGTGAGCTTGGATTTTGCTCTTCAGCTGGGGTAGTTGCACTACATGAGTGTTAGTGTAAGAACTTCCTAAAGGTGATTTTGGTATTTGCAGTTTCTGTCCTTACTTCTTGTAATCAATGTGCTTGATTACTCCTAGCTCAGGGTAAGAGTCCATACCTTCTGTGTCATCCTAGGAAAGCAACAGGGATGAAAAAGAGCTATTTTTTCCAGTATGTGGGAAACAGGGTTTGTGGGATTGTTCTAATATTTATAGAGATACTAATTTCAGCATTTTTCTACACACATCCTTTAGAGAAATACATAACTCAGTTGTTAGTTAAAGTTGGAATATTAATGTGAAAGGCCTGAAGGAAGCTCTTAAAGACTGCAGATTATGTAGCAAAACAAAGTGCAGTTTGTCTTGTGACTCCCTGACACCGACAGAAGCAGTGTTCTTGCTTGGGAGAAAAAGACCTTGTTCTTAAAGCAACAAAACCTCCCTTTATCCTAAGGGAGATGATTTGACAATTCAGTCAAGGGAAGTACTTGTACCTTGGGGGGCAGGGGAGGCTTCTTTTTAAAGCATGTGTAACTTTTTGCGTAGTTGCAGCATTCTCAGCAAAGTTGGGTGGGATTTGGTTGCTGTCACAGGAAGCAGTTCAAATGCCATGGACTAGATATCCTTTCAGGTGCTTAGAATTATGAATGTGAGCATAGATCTCTGGGGTTAGGAAAAAAGCCATTCACGTTTTTAGATGTGTTGCATTACTCCCCAGAAGTCCTGAGCTAGAGGAAGCTGAGGGTTTTCCTGCTCCTTAACCTTGGGTATCTGGGCTGAACTCAGCTTCTCTCTCTCTGGGGAAAGGCTTACATCAGCTGAGCGATAGGTTTGGTTCACTTGAGCTATTCAGAAAGCAAATCCTAAACAGAAGTATGGGAATCTTTTCATTCAGCTGAGATGCAAGTATAATATAATGGTGAAAGATCTCCCTGGGGCATTGCCTAGATATCATCTTCAACCTCTGTCTGGTTATTAGAAAGGAAGTACTCAGCACTTTGATTTTTGGGGGAAAATAGCCAGAATCTTTGTCTTCTCACAGCTCACCAGAATCGAGTGTCTGCTATTACTTTCTGCCTGGCATCAGAGTGGCTTATCAGCACAGGTCATGACAAGTGTATCAGCTGGATGTGCACCAGGAGTGGGAGCATGCTGGGGAGACATTACTTCACCTCTTGGGCCTCATGTCTACAGTATCCTTTAAAAAATGATGGCTACCCTGGAAATGGAAATGTACTTTGTTCCTTTACCTCAATTTATTCCCAACTTTTCATGTATGAAAACTAGAGTGATGTCTCTTGCAAGTCTGCTAACCCTTATTCTCATTAGAAGTTTAATACCTTTATTTCTGTTAGTGGTTATTAGATAGCAGAAGACACCTTGAGCTGCAGAAATCCCAGTCTGTACTACTTCCTAATTTTGAGGTGTCTGTCTGTAGCATCTTGTGGCAGTGACAGTATCTATAGCCTGGCCCATAGACTTCCTGGGCAAGTCACTTTGTTCAACAGATGCCAGTGTGCCTTTGAGTCCTTACAGAGCATAAAACATCATGAATCCCCTTTGGACTGCTTTAATTTTTCTGTCTTTGCTCAAGTTAATCTTTTCTATCTTTAAGCTACTGGGTATACTGAAACTTTATTCACCAGTAGTAATTTGTCTGTGTACAATTTGTTTTCTGTAAACTGTGTTTAACTGCAGCATTTGCAGCTTAGATACTCTGTCTATTCAGCTGTAAGTACTTCAGGGCATTCTTTGCCCTATGTAAAAGACTTGCAAACCCAGTAGCTTGAAAGGCAGTTCACATATCAAAGTTTTTGAAAGCAAACTAAACCAAACCTATTTTTTTAGCACTTGTTAATGGTAGCAGTTTAGATGTGGCCGGACAGTAATTGAAGGTATTGGTTGCTGTATGAGGTTTGATGGCAATAATATTTTAGAAGTAGCAAGATTGAAAAATTAAACAGGTCAACATCATCTCTTGAAAACATGAAGCCCTCTCTAGAGTGGCTGTTTACCTGGGTCCTGGTAAGAAGCTGGGAGGAAAACTCAGTTGCCAGCTGATGTCTCTCCTTCTGAGGTGTCCCATCTCTGCAGACCCTGCCTTACTGACTGAAGAACTGTCAGGTTTGTACTGTTGTACTGCTGCTCTTTTTTAGAGTCCAGGGGAGTTGTGTCCCACAAAACATTCCATGTGCAGCTCACCTCAGCTGAATGCAGCACAGAATAGGTTAAAGCCGGTGTGTGTATTGCAGACTGGTGAACAGTCTGAGCCTCAGTGAATTCAGTGGCTTCTATTTGCAATAGCTAATGCTATTGCAAATAATGGCAGAGTTTATTATTAAAATGGAGAAAAGAATATGACCTTTTGTATCAATATAAAAATAAATTTCCACTGAAGAACTTGACATTTGAAAATCCATTTTAATTTATCTGCCTTTGGATTTGTGTGTGGAAGAGCCAGCTTGCTGGTGTGTGTACTAGGTGCTTGGCCTCCCTATCAGGAGGTTCCTTAGAACATTGTTTGTTAATGACCCTTTGTGTAAGCTTCTGAAAAACACAGCAGAGTGCCTATTCTTTACTGGATTAGTGGGGATAAGGCAAGCCTGAACTTCAAGATGAAGAAAGGATCACATGTTCAGGGAGTTAGAGGATTTGTTGAAAGCAAATTGTTTATCTCATGATCCTGAAGGCTTAAGAGATTTTGGAATGTCATCAGATGGCAGAGCCTCTGTATTTTCACTTAGGGTGGTGGGCTTTTTGGTAGACTGTCTTAAAGTTAGCCTCTGTTGGATACCAGAGGTTACTTTTCTAGATGCTGTTTGTGCTTTTGTGTGGTTCAAGGAGGACACCTAAGTAAGTTTATACACAGCTCTTGGGTTATGTGGTGTCAGCTGCGTGGGTCTTTCATAGCTCTTGCTTATATTGTGAATAACAAAATCTTCTAAAAGCAGCAAATTCTCTGGTTCCATTGGCTTGCCATGCTTTGGTTTCTGGCGTTCATAGTTGCATCGTGGCAACAACAAGAGTGTCAGAACTGTTATGAGGTGTAATGCTTTTGCCCAATGTGCCACCTTGTTAATGGATCCCATGTTAGGATGTGGTGTGGCTTTTATCTCAGTTAACTGACAGAATCCTTTCTGAAATTAGGTCACGTTTCAACACCACACTCAAGGACCTGCATTGGTAAACTGGGAAGTCCAGAGAACAGGACAGGAAATGAGACAGTCTCACCTTGGCAGTAGCTAGAATGTTGTGGGTGTACTTCCACTGTAAGGTGAACTTGCTGTGGAGGGTCAGCATCCTTGTATCTTGGTTTCCCTCTCCTGGGGGTATTAACTACAAACATGCTAGAAGACTAAGGGTTTATTGGAGAAGATACTGGGTAAGACTGAATGCAGCCCAGTGTCCAGTGAGGTGTTCCTAATGGTTGCAGAGAGCTCTGCACTACAACAAGTAGCCTGATGAGTTTTGGCATCTTGTAGACACCCATGAGTGTGTTCTGTAAATAGCTGCTAGAAATGGCCTGAAGCTACTTGGCTTGCATTAAACTAGGGCATGGCTTTCTCCAGTGGCTTTCTAAAACTCTTCTCTTATTTCCTATACAGTTTTACTTGCATGTGTAGGGAAGTGTGATGAGAAGGAAGGAATCAAAAAGGTTTATTACAGTCTCCAACCACTTTAAAAGTAATTAATGTAAATTTATCTGGCATATTAAAATGTTGTGGGTTTTTTTTGGTTTTTTTTTTTTTTTTCTCTCTCTATAGCTGATTGTTTCAGTCATGTAAAATACTCTTTGAACAAATGAAGCTTCTCCTTGACTGGTGTTCAGATATGATCATGAAACTCAGCATGCATTTGTTGGTGATTATTCTGGACAGATCACTCTTCTGAAGCTGGAGCAGAATACCTGCTCAGTTATCACAACCCTTAAAGGGCATGAAGGTAAAGGGACTCTTTGTCTTAAAGCCACTTGTCCCAGACATGGTATCTCTTTGTAAGTTGGGGTGAGATGTTTAGTTGCATATCTGCCTCTTAGGGGTAGATACTGAATGAAAAACCAGTCCAAGGTAGTGGTTATCATAAGCTGTTGAAAGCTGTACTTCCTGATAAAGAACAAACACATTCTTGCTGAAGGGAAATCTTAGCCTTATAAATACTTACAGGTATTTATTTTTCATCTATAATAAAAAAGTAAACATATGCATTGAGTTAAACACAAGCTATCCACTAGATGGCCACCTTTAAAAGCTTTAGTCTCAACATTGGAGAAACTGCCTAGTCTAAGGCAAATGTCTCATCCTCTACAATACAGCTGAAGTCCTTATATCAGATGAAGAATCAGGTGGTCCCTAACATGATACAGAGCCACTGTCTGTTGCAATGAGTAAGGCAAGAATGCAAATCACAAAAAATATGTAACTTAATAATATGCTGAGAAAAATAAACAAGAGAATGCCTTGTCCCATGTGGTACTTGCAACTTTCAAATCAGCTGACAGTTTGCATGTGGGTAGGGATGAACTGCTAGGTCATGAGTCTCTGACCCACTGGAACAGGCTGTCTTGTTTAACAGCTGGAAGTATAGAGTAGGCTTTGTTAAAGCTGGGTAGACTCCTGATCTACAGATGATTGTAAAATGATACAGCTGGTTTTGAATGCAGGAGGCAAGTTGAGATTTTCAAGTGATAAATTTCTCTTCTGCTTTCAAGGAGAATTTCAGATTGTTTCAGTTTAGAATAAAATAATTCTCTTGGCCCTAGAGACTCCTTTGTTTCTCTATACTTTTGGTCTGTGTTCAAATGCAACTTCTTGGTAGAATTTACAGTTAGTCTGAAAGCAGTATGTCCTTGCACTTTCTTGTTGTGTGTGTTCTTTCTCTTGAGTTGTGATGGGCTTCCAAGCACCAACTTCAGCAGTGCTGTTCACACAGCAGCCATCTTTGGCTCATATATTTCCGTATGGGGACTGTGATTCTTAAAACAAGAATTGAGCTACCATAAAAAATTATTTCAGGGGCAGAAACAGATTTTTCTTCAACTGGTATTGTACTAGTTATTTCAACTTCCTTCCTTTATTTGTTTTTTTTTAAAAGCAAATCATATTATGTGTGACTTTTGTTCTCCACCATATTTGTGCAATATTCTCAAGATCTAGTAACTCGAAACTTAAATGGCACCAATTCTCCTTTGAGTGCAGTTGTGTTTGACAGACTTTAAAAGTCTGATTTCATCTTGTTTGCTTTCTAGCTCTTGCAAAGTGTGACTTCATAAGTCACACTTTGAAGAAAGCAGTTGCTTTGCAGTTTAAATGGTTTCAGTGTTTGTTCTCAGCTTCCAGAATTCACCATGTATAACAGCCTGCTCTGTGTAATGCTGAGATAATACTCAAAGTTAATGCCTTTTTGGTGCACATGCTATATCCAGATGGGTCAGTCTGAAAAGAGCATAGCCCTAAAGGAGGCAAAAAAAAAAAAAAAAGTCTTGCTTCAGAGCATTGGAAAGAACTGATTTGGGCTCTAATTACCATTCATCATCTTGGTTTCGGACTAACAAGGCTTTTGATGACAACTGAGCAATGGAAGGATTGTCTAAAGGGAAGGATTTCTGCAAGGAAATAAAATGTGCCAACTTCAACTATAGGTGGCATGAGTAACAAAATTACTCCTTTAGCAGCGTACTGGTTATGTTACCCTGGGTGTGGGTTTAGTGTAAGACTGCTACTGTCAGATGACTCATTTCTTTCTATCCCTAATTCACAGTTGCCCTGAGCCTTCTGAAATCTAGTTTTGTAATTTAGTGAGTAGTGGCAGATTTGCTAACAGCAGTGAAGTTCTCACGTTGTTTCTTAGTCCAGCTATTTTAAGGTTGTAAATGGTTACGTGAGGGAGTTGCTTTAGCTGAGAACACTGCGAGCTGTGCTGCAGCCACTGAGCAAGCACCTCACTGTGTTGGAGATACTGGTTTCTGCTTGGCAAGTGTTGGTTCTTCCGTCTTCCAAAGTTCACGTAGCAGCCTGGCAATCTTAAAATCACCTACCTAAATACAAGGGGCAGAACTCAGACTTTCTGGCTTATGCTATATCTGTCTTAGGGACATCTGTTCTGTTGTCCAGTACTCCTTGCCTCTCTGTCAGGACTGCACTGTGCTGTTGGATGCTTCCTTTGCCTTAAGGCTTTCAATATGTTAGTGGAGTAAGGCAGTACCTCAGGTTTCACTTTAATGCTCCAGGAGGGCATCACTGTGTTGGGAAGCCAGTCCCTTACATCTAACTGCAGAATGTTCTTTCCTAGGGAGTATTACTTCCCTGTGGTGGGATCCTGTCCAACGACTGCTCTTCTCAGGTGCCTCTGACCACAGCATTATCATGTGGGATATTGGTGGAAGGAAGGGGCGAACGCTGCTGCTCCAGGGACATCAGTATGTAATGAAGTCCTATTTTTCATAGACATCCTGTAATGAACACACAGTCCCAGGAAGTCTAAATAGCATGGCAAGATATTTGAGTCATTGTGAATAATGGAGAAAATTACTCTTTGCAGAACCCTGGGTACTTTGAAGGGAAAGAAGGATAAACAGTACTAGGAAGACCTTACTGATAAAAGCTTTTTTCTTTTTCATGTTTAGTTAGTATTACCATGGCTTAGAAGTAACACAGAAGTAGTTTATAGAAAGAGGTGGGTAAAAATCCTAAATAATCTGGTTTGGCCTTTATGTAAAAATTGCATGTGTCTGTATTGTAAATACTGCACTGAGTTACCTGTGAGAGGAGGGCTAGAACCTTTATGTATAAGCATGTTCATGTATGCATATAAAATAAGCTTCAATATGTTCCTGTTCTCTCTGTCTTTCTATCAGTGATAACTGATTGGCTAAATTACAGGGGTAGTCTCTCAACTTCAGAAAGTGTCATGTTTCCCCTCTTCTGAAGTTGAGGCAGTTGTAACAATCAACTCTTAATTTTTAGAGACGCAACACTAGCTGTCATTTTTAAATGTAGGGCTCTAATTCAATCTGACAGGCAGTTCACCACTGAAGATATATTCTACTTAGAAATGCACTGGTAGTAGAGATTTTGTTTATATTTAAAGATATTTGTATAATGTGTTCCCGTCTTGTCTAGTTCCATAGATGCTTCCATCTACCTTTGATCAAGACAGATAGCCTTAGCTCTAGAACTCCTGTTAAATCTTGAGAGTTTAGTCTTACAGCTAAAGAATTAAAAATAGAGCCTTGGTAAAAAAAAGTAAATGAAGTCAGTGGCTGGAGGACTTTATAGTGCTGTTACTGCTGCCTCATGTGTCCTGGTGAAGACTTGTAACAGTTGGGTTCTTTTTGTACTGAATGGGAAAGTAAGTTCTTCTGAGAAGCAGAATGACTTTTTAATTCAATTTAGATGCTGCAAAGCAGTTTGATACTAGTCAGATTCTTTGTTTAAATTCTTGAGGCAGACTTTTGTTTTGACATGACTTTCTTTAGGATTAAATTGTCTTATAGGGGAAGGCACACTTTGCTTTGCAGCTACTGCCTGCCTTACTGTGATTTGTTAGCAAAAGTGGAACCTCTGTCTGCTGCTTAGTTGCATCTTGAAACAAATACTTCTCTTTATTTACCCAGTTGTTTCTGTTTTGACAAGTGGCTCTCCTTGCCAACACAGAAGAGTATTTGCACACGCACTCTGAGTCAGTTGACGCTCAGTTCACCATCAGGGCTTACTGCCAGCAAATGTTAACATGGAACTGTACTTCTGGTATTCTGGTCAGGCCTGTAAGAACTCTCTCAGTAACATCCTGATGCTAGGGTAGTGCTCAGGTGGCAGCAACAGCATCTGTTCACTCATCTCTCTACTCAGTGGACTTAGCAAACTGAAAATCAGTTTGGGGCTTCCTCAGTAGCTTTATTTACAAGTGTAAATCAGGGTTTGCTGAGAAAGCTTTGTTTGAGTACTTGTGGGTAACTAGTGTGTGCTTTGTCTGCAGTGACAAGGTGCAGGCTATCTGCTACCTCCAGCTGACACGGCAGCTGGTGTCTTGTTCAGCTGATGGGGGAATTGCTGTTTGGAACATGGATATCAGCCGAGAAGAGGTAACTTCATGGCATAGGTCAAAGATTTTTTTTTTTCCCTTTTCAGAGACTAATGTGACTTTCCTTAGTCAGTTCTGCAGGCTGCTTTCCTCATGTTTTCTGACACTTTAAAGCTGAATGATATTATTGAAGCTTGTTCTGTTCTAATGGCTGTCCGTGCTGCACTGTAGTAAATGGGTTCCCAGGACAGGAAGAGTGCAGGAGATGCTTGGGACTGCTTAGAGTTTTATCTCAAAGAGACAACAGGTTCACTGGAATGGCTGTGGCCTTTGCTTCTGGAACAATCTAAAGCAGTCAAACTCTTGCAGTAAAGAAACCAAAGGACTGTGCTTCAATAGTCTCAGCTTGTGTCAAAGCAGGTAAAGAAGTGAGAGGCAGATTTTGAGATGCAGTTCAGAAGGCAGAGATTCAGTCCCCAGGCAACTTTTTTTTTAAAGATCTTAGTACACAGCAGTTGACCCAGCCATACACTTTCTTTCTGCATCAGTTCATATCCATGGTGGTACAAGTGAGAATGCTCTTGTTTTCTTATTGTCAGCAATGTAAGTGAATTGAAAAAAAAATGCTTTGTTGTTCCAGCTTTCCTCCTGTCAAGTTTCAGGCAGACTCCCTCATGAGATATATATATATGTATAGAATGTTCAAATTCAAGTCCATGTACTAAAAATACTGTGCCTCTCTATCTCTTACAGGGATGCTCAGTTAAACTATCTGAGAGAGCTGAAATGTGTAAAAGCTCTATTTTCATGTGGCCCAGTCCATTTATGGCAGGAAAAGTGTGTGGGTGGGAGAAAGGATGCTTAACGAAGATGGGGGCAGGATGGAAAATGCAGATGAATGCCTAATTATTCCAAACTGCAATCCCATGAAAGTAGAAAAGATAATTACTCACAGAATTTACTTCTGGACACCCCCTTTCTTAAAGGGAATTACTGCCTCATAGCTTCTGCAGTTTGGACTACACTGGTCCTTAAAAGCCATCCAGACAACCAGAGCAGCAGTCTATGAACGCCTGCAGCGGGCTTAGTAATGTAGGTGTTTGAATGAGTTTTCTTATTAAGGCAGTAATATAACATATTCCTGTAGGCTTAAAAAGTGTAGGAGGTGTGTAGGTAACCAATAACTGTATGCTTGGGTTTTAGGTTTTTGTGCTAAACTTTCTTTGTACTATGCTCTAGGCAATTTATTGTTGAAGCAGGGCATCTTTCCAAGTAAGACTTTACTTTGGGTTCTTAAGCTTCCTTGACTGTTGTGTGAGGGAAAACAATTCTGATTGCTTACACTTCCTGTTCTTTTGTAGGCTCCTCAATGGCTAGAAAGTGATTCCTGTCAGAAGTGTGAGCAACCTTTCTTCTGGAATATAAAGCAAATGTGGGACACAAAGACAATAGGGTTGAGACAGGTGAGATGGCTGGTTTCAGTGCTTAGCTGTACTTCAGCAAAATGTAAAAAGAAGACTACTAAGGCTGGTAGATCTTTTAATCTCTTGGTTTTTTCCTGCTTTGAAGTGAGGTATATTGAGAAGTTACAGCGTCTAGGCGCTGCTAAGATATTTCCAAATTCTGTGAAAGTGTTGCATCAAACTTCTGTCACAGGTCAAAGCAGGCTGTGCTCTGTTGGATTTCTCTGAATGTTCCCATGCTTTCGACTATGGACAGTTAATCCTCAAGTGTTGTGTAAAATGGTAAATGGTGCTCCATAGCAGAGAATGTAGGTGCTCACTCCAGTGAGCATCTAGTGAAGCACTAATGGCCCCGTTCTTACTGCACCGGAATGTTTTTAACTGGGTTGCTTGTTCAAGCCTCTTTTTCCCCTTCTCCCAGAAGGAGCTTGCCAGAGAAGAGGATATACACAGAATGTGGTGATAAATCCATTAATGACCCAAACCACTGTTCAGAACTCCTGAGACATTGGTCTTTGGTTGAAGAAACAGGGTGTTTCCTAGCAGGTTGCTTTCTAACAGGCTGCAAAACAGAAGCGTTGTTGTTTTTGTTGTGCAGTGGACACTTGTATGGTGTCATAGTATAGTGACTTTTTATTTTCTTCTTCCTCCTTGAAGCATCATTGCAGAAAATGTGGGCAAGCAGTGTGTGGCAAGTGCAGCACCAAACGGTCGAGCTACCCAATCATGGGATTTGAGTTCCAGGTCCGTGTCTGTGATTCCTGTTTTGAGTCGATCAAGGATGAAGAGTGAGTATTAGGGAGTAACAAACTGTAGTAACACTGCTGCTGTGCAGAAACCCTTGGGCTTGCTCCACATCCATACAGTGCTACAGAACACACTGAGCTGGCTCTCTGCTATTAGGCCTTGGGGACTGAAAGCACTATGATGGCAGAGATCCCCCATCTGCCTCTGCAATGCATTTGGATCAGATATGGAATTACAAAATTTTTATCCTTTTTTAGTTCTTCTTTTCCAGGAGCCCAGATCCAGACTTGAGATACATTTGTCTCAGCGTTTCAGTTTAGTTAAAAGCTATTGATTGCACTTAACATTGCTAAGTGGGTGCCAGACAATGCATTACAGCTGCCAGGATGTATATGCATTAGTTCATGTACACTTTTTAAAACTTTGGGAATATTCTTCAGAGCTCAACATTATTTTCCCTATGCAAGCAAATCAGGTTAAACATCATTTGCTGTCTCATTAAACTTGTCTTAGAAGTGAAGGAACCCCTTTTCTCTTGGTATGAACAGAGTAATCAGATATGAAAATTTTGGGAGTGTTTGGGATTTTTTGTTTTGTTATTGGGTTTTTCATTGTTGGGACTTTTTGTTTGCTTGGGGTTGGGTTTTTTTGAAAAGTAGGATGCTGTGCCCTAGTTGGCTTATTTATCCAGCAGGAGAAAAATATACTTGAACTTGACTGTTAACCAGGAGTAGAAATATTTGCTAATTCAGTGTCCCACTTCTGCTCTAGTATTATTAACAGTCAGGCTACAGAAGCCAGGAAATGTCACACCTGTACAACTCCACAAGCAGTGCCTTAGCATGACTTGCTAATTTAATTCTGTCCCCTTTAATATGGCACTGCAGCTCGTGGAATAGATTTATTAGTACTTGAGCAACCCAATTTTCTTTTAAGTTTATTTTGCACTGCTATAATGATGCCATGAAGCTTCATCTGATGGCTGGCTTTCATTTCCATTGTTTTTGTGCAGCCGTACTTCCCTGGCAACCTTTCATGAAGGCAAGCACAACATTTCACACATGTCCATGGACATCTCCAGAGGGCTCATGGTGACTTGTGGGAGCGACCGGATTGTGAAGGTATTGCTGCATCTCTTTCCTGCATTTCTAAGAGATATTTAATAGAGAGTTCATTTCTGTATGTTCTTCCTTTCTTTCTGACAGCTATTGCTACAAGCTGTCTGTTGTGTGAGGAAGGGATTGTATTTGCTAACCTGTTCTTCTGCAGCTGAATGAGGAAATGACTTGTAACTCCACTGTATGGAGTGCAGCTGTTGTGTCTCTGAAGAAACATAGAGGCATGGGCAGCAGGAGAATCTGCCAGCAGTCTTAAAGACACAGACCTGAGGAAATGTGCAGGTTCCTTTGCTCTGAGCTCCATGGCTTGCAGCATGGCCACTGAAAGCCCTTGTTACGAGGCAGTGACATGGAGCTCAGACTGAGACAAAATCTTGCTGTGCCTGGGCTCTACGTTCACCATGCGTGTCAGAACTGAGACTGTGCCATCCTGTTCTTGTTTGGCTCTAAGCATTTGCAGTTTGTGACACACTGCATAGCACTTCTTAAAACAGACCTACACAGAAGTTCAAGACTCTGGAGCCCCAAATTTGACTTTTGGTTTGTAATGCTGCTGTAACTCTTTATGAGATTTTCCTCAAGCATAGTTAAAAAGGAGTTGCTACCTTGTGTGGGATATCTTTGTTTGCTTCTATGCCTCTTGCAGAAAGACCTGTGAGCCTGACACTAATGCTGTGTAATTCTCCACAATTCTCCTCCAGATCTGGGACATGACACCAGTAGTTGGTTGCAGCCTTGCCACTGGATTCTCTTCCCGCTGATCTCCTCTGTGGCAGGTTTATGCACCTTATGTACAGCAATACGCACCCAATGAATGGAACCCTCCTCAAGAACATTACTGCAAACACTGGTTGCTTGATTCTCCTCTTGCTGCTGTTCCAGGATGGACAGTCACCCTTGTAGAGCACAGCTTTTGTGTTGGGCTCCCCGGGAATCTCCGTGGTGCTGAAGTGCGGTTCCGCAGCCTCTCGGACTGACATAAACAGTTTATCTGCAATATGACACCTGGCTGGAAGGACCTGTTGTCTCTCAGTTTACATATGTAGTGTTAACAATGTGCTATCTCTGCTGATATATCTTGTACAGATACCTTGTAGCTAAAACATTACCAGAGTTAAACAAATGTAGTAAATTCAATTTGTGCAAATAGTAAAAAAACTTATTTTCTCATCCAAAAAGCAGTTCTGTTGAAATGTTTTTGAGCAGTCATTGTCTAAATTGCCTCCAAAAGGTATGTTGGTTATTCCTATAGAAGGAGGAGATAGTTTAAAGTGGAAGGTAACTTCTTTCAGATGAGATAGTAAGAGAACCTTTGATCACACAAGATCTTTTATTGGCTTTCTTGTAGTGTTTGTCTTCAAGTTCAATTGTTAGTGAAATCACTTTTGTGGAACAGCTGTATAGCTATGTAGGTAGCTGGTGAGTCTGCAAACAATCCTGGGCTTTTTATGTAGTGTTTTAGCATAGCTGATAAACTTCTGTAGTTATGAAAACGTGCAGCCCACCTACTCTAAAGATTGGTCACAGGTATGAGCCATGTACTCTGACAACTGTAATGTTGTTAGAATGGAAACCTAAACAAATCTGTCTTGTTACAAGGAATGTTTAAGAAGAAATGGCCAGCTAAATTTTAGAGATTTTTTTCTGTGGAGAGGCTGATGTTCTTTAATGTCAGGGAACCTGTCTCTGCTAAAGTACAGCATAAATTCAAATACTGTCTTGATGTTGCTTAAAACAGATAAATACTAAGCAATAATTATTGAGGTACAGAACAGCTGCTTTTTCCCCTGCTCCTAGGAGTGTTATCCTGAGATATCTATATTGATCCTTTCCTGTTTCAAAGCTGAGAAGTATGAAGAAGAGCTGTGAGGCTTTTATGACTGTGCAGTTGGCACATAAGGGAAATAACTAGTGAGAGATACTATCAGTAAACTGGTTTGTCAGTTGAGTAAATCTACATTTAAATACTGTAAAGAAGAATTTATTTTGTAAGCTGAGGTGATATGTCACAGAGTTTAAGCTTGGAGCTGTTAAGATTTATCTGAAAATAAATGCAATATGTACAAGGACAAAAAAAGGTAGGTCAGCTGGCCTGGAATAGGTGGTGTTACACAGTTATGAAAGGTAATACGCTCTGTCTGGCAGAAGAGTTAAGGGTTAGACTGTCTTTACTTACAGCAACAATCAAGTGGTGCTATGAGTGTTGGTGAATTCAAGTCCTAGCTGTGTAACTTGACACTAATAATCTGCATTGGACCATGCTGTAGGCTGAAATAGATTAAGATCATTAATACATCGTGATTCACTTGCATTTTAAGCCAAAAATCTCATAGTCTCCAAAGGGCATTAGAATCCAGAATATGATAGTTACTGTTACTTTGTCTGCTTTTCCATGGGCCTTCTCTGGAAGTTTTGTGAAGAGTTTTTATTTGCTGGCCTTATTGGGCCACTGAAGAATAAACAGAAGAATAAACAAAACCATCTTTTGTGGGGATCCCAAAACTTGTCTTGCCTTCAATCCAGGATTTAGCACTTGTCACACCCATTTGATGCAACTCTGCCTACATGCTGTATAGCTTAGGTTTTTTTGGGAAGGTTTGTTTCCAAGATGTTGAGAAAATCAGTTTACACTGGAAGAACAGTTGCAGCTTTATGCTCTGAAGGCCCTCACCCTTCTAAACTAGGAAGGAAAGTTTCCTTCCTAGTTTGTGGGGTGAGTAAGCTCTGGGAAGTCTCTGCATTCACTTTCAGACTTCCTCCTGTCTGGTTCTGGAAGAGAACAGATGCCTTCTTCCTCACAGCATGTAAGGCAGAACACGAATTACAGTGCTAGAATTGTTTCATGTCCCACTGTAATAGGTTAGGAGGATCTAGGGTGTGAGTTAAGGTGGGAGATTGATGTAGGTGTGCAATGAGTACCATATTTTTAAACGTAGACATTCTGAAACCTATACCCACGATACTGAGGTGTGACCCCTTTTCAGTTAGCACTCCAGAACTCAACTTTTTTAGTTCTGATTACTCCATGTGCCCCTGCTTAGCACACAGCTCCCCCCTCCCCTCCCTGTGAATACTTCCTGTGCTTCTTTACATTATGTTTTTGCCACTAGATAATATATTCTCTACTGCCTAAGGAATCTATTTTCTATAATTGATATACTTAAAGATTGTGTCAGTTCAGATATAATGACAGTTATGGCCACTAAATCTTAGTCTTTTAAGTATACTCTTGGTGTTGAATGAGTAATGCTCACAAACCACTAAAGAGAGAGTAGTTTAGTTTATAAACAACTATTTGGAAGACACTCATTCTCTCATCAAACTGAACATACTTAGCTATGTCAGCTTAAGTGTGCAATTACTGAGAAGCCTTGATTTGAAGCATTACAGATCTCGCTTGTGTAACCTCTTCCACTGGGGCAGGGAAGGGGAGCAAAGGGTACTAATATATGTTAATTCTTTCCTAGTTGTATTTCTGTACCCTACATAGTTAAGAGAATCTAGATAAATCTGTTCTTTGCTCCCCCTTGTCTGTTTTTTAAATTTTGATTACATGTACAATAAAATATTTCTTGATATTCACTTAGTCTATTTGGATGATCCATCTTTTTTTCCATCCTGTGAAAGCACAATCTGCATGTTGTGCTCTGGCTCTTCCTTTGCGTGCCCCATGTACAAATTGTAGGTTCTGGGAGAGCTTGTTGGGTGTGTGGTATTGGAACTGAATGAGCTGCAGCAGGTCAAAGGCCCACAAAGAACCAGTGAGCTGAGACATGAGCAACTGCTGTGTGATCCCAGGTAGGGATGTGTGACCCTATCCTGTGTTCTGCCTGCCAGCTCATACAGACATTTCCTCTGGTTCATCTGGCTGCCCTTCAGAGCTCTGCAAAGGTTCTCATCTACAGAGTACCACAGGATCCTTTCTTGAGATGCCTTGGACCTGGCTGAGGTGCCAAAGAAATGCTAATTTTGCTGCATGGGGTGAGCACAGCCTACAATATAATATACACAGAGGACACAAACTGCAGCCACACAAGGTGGTTGCACTTGTTTCATGGTACTTTTTCACAGGGAAAGGATGGAGATAAACTGGAAAGCATCCTTATCCCTCACAGTTGCTCACAGCCTTCACAGGCTCAAATACAGCACTGGCTGGTTTTGTAACACTTGGAATGTCTGAATGTTGGTTGATCAGTAGGTTGTGTGGCTCACTGCTTCCTTGGGGTATCTGGGAGCCAGAGAGGCAATCTGGAAGAGTTCGACAAACTTGACACCTTTGAATGAGGGCTGAAGAGCCTGTGTGGTATATAATAATTTTTGTAGGGGTTTTTTTTAACATTATATGTCCCATTTTGAACTGCTTAAACTTCTCACATTTTGCAAGGCAAATTCCAGTGAAAACTAACTGGAAAAATGAAGCTGTTGTTGATCTATAGTCAGAAAAGCCTGTTTAGATGTCTGTGTAGACCATCTTATGTTTTGAATAAGGCATATGAACTCTAGTTAAAGTTGATGCTGGAAAATTGCAAATGGTGTACTTGTAGTGAAAGCACAAAAATAGATGTATTGGTTTTCTAACTGAGAATGCACAGTTGATCACTTCTCAAGTTCCTGATACTGAAAATTTCGTTTAAGTTTCAGATAGCTGTGCCAGGTCTTAGTACCTGTAGTGTTGACTTCACTCATTGAGGAGATTTAGAATACATTAGATGCAGGAAAGGCACAGATTTTGATGTTGATCAGATTCACTACTACAGTTCAGAAGGAAAGCTCTCTAAGGTTTTTTATCTCTGTTGACCAAGTCCTCAGTGATGAATAACCTGATTAACTGTGAAATGCCGTAATCAAATGCCACAGAAAATGATGAATTTCTGCCAGCCTAACGTTTAAAAACTGATTTTGTCAACAACTAACCATCCTACAGAGAGTTTCAATGTGGCCTCTCATTCACAAAAGGCAAGGATCAAGGATCTCTTAAGTTACTGCTATCAAGTGATCCCATAAAGCTTCTTGTCCCTTTGGAAGATGTAAGGGCATGGGCTCTAGGCAGCTGTGTAGTCTGCTCAACTTTTAATATGCAAAAGCTAATTGTTGAACAGATTCAAAGACAGCATTACTTGTTTTATTACTCTGGCAATGGAAGTATCAAAATAATATCAGTAATCTATACCATTTTTTTCAAAAAATTAATAAAGTGAAATATATGGGGTCATCAGAAATTTTGCTTTCTGCTTCTATGCATGACTCTTTTCCCCCTAACATATCAGCAGCTCTGAGTTGCTGTAACTACCTGCTGTCTGACTCATGTTTGTACCCAGGGTCTCTGACAAGGTTTAGTTTATAATCTCATCACACAAAAAAGTAGAAGCATATTCTTTGACTTACTCTTGATGAATTATATTAATTTTGGTGGGATTGACTGGTTTGTCTGTAGAAAGTTTGGTACATTCATTCCTAAATTGCTTTGTATCACAAAGATATTATGGGTTGTGGAGGTACATGTTTTTCTCCTCTTTACCTTGTTTATAGAGAAATACACGTTAGAGTTTAAATTGCTCCTGGCTTTGCTACTCTTAGCTGTCTTTCAAGTAAACAAGATACTATGCCTTGCACTACCTATACTGAGTCTTCTTTCTGAAGCCTGTTTTCAGCTGCTCTCAAAATCTATATTTGTATATCTGTCAAAACTTTAAGTTTTCATGAGCTCAGGTACCCCTGTGCAGCTGATCAAGAGTGGGCACTGTTTGCCTGTACTCCTTGCTGGCATTGCTGCTAAGCCATGGCTGGCTGTCAGTTCTAGTGCTGTCCTTGGTCTTTTCTCTGTTCTTACTCATTTCTTTCTTTCTTCCATAGTATACGGCTCCTTCTCCAGGTTTCCTCCACAGCAGCACATCCTTGTTGGAGTTTGGCTCCCTGAGACAGGCAATAGCAGCTCTTGAAGCACAACTGCCCTGCTCACCTGAGCCTCCTGATCTCTCCTGCAGCGAGATGAAGTGATGGCTGAGGCAGCAGACATGGAAGGTGAGTGTGGTTTAGGAAACAACACACTTCCTCATCTGCAGTTACAAGGCTCCATCCCATTAGGCACCCATAGCAGTGCAGCCATAACTTGGTG